GCCAGAAGGCTCGTGAGGCCAGTGGGTGGTAAAGGTGGGTGGCAGCAGGGTGTCCGTGGAGGCGGGAGCGGCCGCTGCGTTATCCGTCCGGGGAGGGCGGCGGGCGGGGCTCCTCTCCCGGGAGGGAATGACCACCCTGGACCCGGTTGGACCCAGTCGAAGGGAAGGGGCTGAGGCCTGTTCCAGACGAAGGGAACGGCCAGGGCAGAGGGCAGGGCTGATGGGAGGGGCGGTGTGGTCTCAGCGGAGGGTTGTCTCCAGAGCCTCCTTCGGATGAGAGCCGGCCCCAGGGAAATCAGGCAGTGGGGAGGGGAGGGGAGGGGAGGGCGCCTTATCTTGGCCCTCAGCCCCAGGGAGGGGGTTTCCGGAGGTTTTGCCCGATTTTAGGGCTCGTGCGGGTGTCTCCTGGGCGGCTGATTTCAGAGCTTTCTGGTCCATGTTTGGGAGGGGCAGGGTTTCAGCCACAGGACCCAGGTGGGAACCAAGGCCTGGGTTTGCCATGGGGTGTGCTGTGGCCCAGCAATTTGACTGGGATCTTGCCCACAGCGGGGGCCTGGACACCGCCATGGGCAGCCTGGACACCGCCCCCTGCTTTCCCATCCCTGGGGCCTAGGCCAGCTGGCCAGGGCAGGGCACCCTCCCCCCCCCCGCCACAGGGGAGCGGAACCAGGGGCCAGAGACCCATAAAGCCTAGGCGGCCTTTACTGCCAGCTTTGTGTTGGCCAGCCACAGCAACAGCCATTAGAAACGCCTCCCCCACCAGCAGCTGGGCCCCCCACCCGCCCTCCCTTTACGGCCACGCATCAGTGCCCCGGCCCCACGGGGGGCTGACCGTGCCTCTCCACTGGCCTCATTCACCCACCGTTTGGCTTGGGGGTTGATGGCTCCTGCCCCCCCAACCCTTCCTGGCCCCACACGGGGCAGCTGTTGGCTGACCTGAGCCTCGGTTTCCCCACCCGGAATGTGCTAGGTGCTTGGGGTAAAGCTTCTATGTCTTCTCACACACTCTTCTTGAGCGGTGGGGAAACTGAGGCGGGAAGCGTGGCGAGGTTTTTGTAGGGACTGTGCTGGGGAAGGGGGTTCACTGCGTCAGAATCTCGGAGGGGACGACCTTCCCCTGGTCCCCAGAGACATGCTGGCCTCTGCATTCGCATCTTAGGGGGCTGCCGTGACGCAGGACCTCAGACAGTGGACTTGAGACAGCTGAGACCTGTCCTCCCTCTGTCCTGGAGCCCAAAGTCCAAAATCCCGGCATCTGCACGGCTTTGCTCCGTCCAGGGGCCGCAGGAGGGACCTTCTGCCTCCCCCGGCTTCTGGGGGCTCCGGGCCTCTGTCTCCGTGTCTCTTTGCGGTGGGATGCGGGACCCACCGGAATTCACCGTGATCATCTGCCAACGCCCTTTTTCCAAATCGGGTCCCGCTCTGCGGTTTTGGGTGGGGGGTGTTTGCCCCAGAACAGCTCCAGTGGTGAAATCCTCTCCATCCCAGTACCTGCTGTCTCAGGCGCCTCTTCCGGGGGCGAGCTCATTCTGTCCCCCTCTCCGCCCTGCCTGGCCCGAAATTACAGCTGAGGAAATCGAGGTTCATGTAACAAGCATTTATTAGGCAACTGCTGTGTGCTCAGCCTGATTCTAGATTCTGGGGACAGAACAGACAAAAACCCCAGACAAACCCCTAAATCCACGACTCGGGTGATGGACCGGATCTCGGAGGAAGAGAGGGGAGGGGAGGGGGCGGCTGTCGGAGGAGGAGGCCTGGCGTGTGGCCCTGTGTGCGTGCCTGTGCTCATGGGACCCGCCAGCCCGGCCAGCCAGGTCTACCTGCGGGCCCCACACCCCTCACACAGCTGAAGGGGAAACTGGGCCTCCCCGGCCACCATAAATCAGCGCAGGAATGCGGGCTGGCCAGTCTGGCGCTGGCCGGGGTGGGGCGGAGACAAAGACCAGGCAGCTGGACCTCTGGCAGCCCGACCACCCAGGGCAGAGGTCAGGACTCCTGGCTGCCCCCCCAGCCCCTTCCTGGAAGCCCTCACTTGGCCTCCAATACACAGATGGGGAAACTGAGGCCCAGGGAGGGGCAGGATGGCTGCAGGGTGGCCGGGCCCTCAGCCGGCCTCCCCAGCACCCAGGATTTCCCCGCAGCAGGGGCTGGGCGTGGGCCTCGTTCCTGGGCCCTAATGATGGATCATCCCAGCCGAGGCCTAATTGGTGGTTTCAAGGCCCCCCATTGCCCAGCCAGCCACATTCCCCCGAGCTTAATTTGCAGCCTGGTATTTGTCCCTGCTCCTCCTCAGCAAATTGGCCCCCGCCTGAACTCTGCTTTCTAATTATCCCAGCCGGCGTTCCCCCACCCTGCCTGCCCCTGCCTGCCCGCCAGAACCTGGTGGGGGAGGGCCGGGGGACCTCCGGGCCCCTGTACCCCGGATGGAATCCCTTTCCCCTCTGGAAGACATTCCGGGCCTGACGGTCTTCCCCGGCCACCACCCCGGCAGGCAGAGGCTGTCAGTGGCTCATTTCGTAGCTGGAGGCGGAGACCCCAGGGTCCAGGTAAGGGGAAGCCAGCAGGAGGACCAGGATGGGAACCAGGAGGAGGCCCTGGGCCCCACACGCACCACTGTGCCTCGGTTTCCCCAGCTGCAAAACAGAGCCAGTTCTTGGGGCAAATGGGCTCCTGTCAGACCCTCAGGACAGCCCCGGAGGCGTGCTGATTATTTGCAGTGATTGGCTGTGTGAGTCAGGCAGGCACTGTCTAGGTTAAACTGTGTCCCCCAAGGAGGATAAAAGGTGAAGCCACAGCCGGTGGCTCCCGCCTGTCACCCCAGCACTTTGAGAGGGCGACATGGGAGGATCGAGGGAGCCCAGGAGTTCGAGCCCAGCCTGGACAACGTAGCAAGACCCCATCTCTACAAAAGAAAATGTAAAACTTAGCCGGGTGTGATGGCGGGTGCCTGTGGTCCCAGCCACTTGGGCAACTGAGGCAGGAGGATCCCTTGAGCCCAGGAGGTTGAGGCTGTGGTGAGTTATGATTGTACCACTGCACTCCAGCCTGGTTGACAGAGTGAGGCCCTGTCTCTAAAAACAGACAAAAAAGGCCGGGCACGGTGGCTTCCACCTGTAATCCCAGCACTTTGGGAGGCTGAGGTGGGCAGATCACAAGGTCAGGAGATCAAGACCATCCTGACCAACGTGGTGGAGGGCGCCTGTAGTCCCAGCTACTCGGGAGGCTGAGGCAGGAGAATCGCTTGAACCCGGAAGGCGGAGGCTGCAGTGAGCCGAGGTCGCGCCCCCGCACTCCAGCCTGGGGACAGAGCGAGACTCCGTCTAAAAAAAAAAAAAAAGAAGGAAGGAAAGAAAAGAAGTAGTTAGATTCGAGTACTGGATTCTCGGCACCTCTGCTGGGGACCTCATTTGGAAACAGGCTTCTTACGGACAGTCACGTGTTGACGCTTGGGTCAACCTCAGACCGCACGGAGGACGGCGGCCCCACAGCATGAGAATTCTGTGTTTCTTCTTCACCTCGCCTGTGTTCAGATGTGTTCGACGCACAAACGCTCACCACCGGGTCCCCGTTGCCTACAGGATCCAGCGCAGCCGCGGATTTATAGCCTAGGAGCGCCGCGCCGTGCCTGGTGCCTGGGTGTGTGGGAGGCTTCCCCCGTGAGGGGGGTGTGTGAGTCACTCTGTGATGTTCACACCGACAAAATCACCGACAGACACGACAGGACGTGTCCTCCACGAAGACAGGCTGAGGCTGGAGCAAGGCGGCCACGAGCCCAGGAACCTGGACCCCCCGGAAGCCGTGGAGGCAGGAGGGCTCCTCCCCTGGAGACTTGAGAGGGAACGCAGCCCGGCAGACACCTTTTGTGTCCCCCGTGCTGGAGTGCAGTGGCGTGGTCTCGGCTCACTGCAGCCTCCACTGCCCGGGCTCAAGCAGTCCTCCCCCCTCAGCCTCCCGAGTAGCCGGGACTATAGGCACAAGCCTCCCGGCCTGGGTAACTTTTTGTATTTTTGTACAGATGGGGTCTCACTCTGTTGCCCAGGCTGGTGTTGAATTCCCGGGTTCAAGCCATTCCCCCGCCTCCCAAAGCGCTGGGATTACAGGCACGAGCCACCACCCTGCAGAGACACTGATTTTGGATTTTCGGGCTCCGGGACTGTGGGAGAATAGATTTCTTTTTCTTTTCTTTTTTTTTTTTTTTTTTTTTTT